CTGTTGTGAAGGGCTGTGTAGCACTCTATAATTTAAATGTAATTGTTGGCATAACTGTTTGTGTGGATCTACGCAAGAGATCAGAGAACATTCTGTCTGAATGTCTTAATTTTCTACAATGAAAATACATTTACATAATTCCTGTTTATTTATGTAAAACTTGAGATCGCATGGGTCAAATCATACATATATGTTGGAGTTTGTGTACAGCACTTACTTATTATTCTATTACTAAATATGTTGTTGAAAATTGAAAAAACAAAACGTTTCTGGTCTGACCAGCAAGAACCACACCATTTTAAAAAAATAAAAAATTGTAAAATGTGTGTCTGGATAAACTTTCCTTGAAAAAAGGTTCCAAACTGTCAGCTACTGCCCCAGAGTTGGAACACAACCAATGACAGCCCAAAACAATTGCACATGTGCGGAAGAATAGCTTGTGCACCTGTAAAGTTATTTGAATCATATCCCCAAAAGGGTACCTGTTAAATTGGTTTAGTCCAAATGCTAACGACAATGGTCTAGCAGAAGTGTCTTAAATCGGCAATATGTAAAAATCTGGCCGGAAAAATGTTGGTACTGCAATCATTTACTGCAATCTTTTACCCGTTCATGGACATTGGTCTCTCCCTATGGACCAATTTGTGTATAATTTGTGTCTTAACCGTTGATTCTCTGATCTGTGTTGGTGATTTCAATGGTTTTGTTAAGTCCTCTGAGATGACTTATGATTTAGGGCTATACAAAAATAAATCGTCATAGTCGTGATACACGCTCCAACACAGTGTTTCAAAGCAGTTTTCTTGGGAAAGAGCAAAACACTCACCGGAGCGTCAGTGTTGTTTGCCACTACAAAAAAACATAGGCATTTCTCCGCAAGTGATCCCACGGGTTCTTTAAACATGGCACATAATTCTTGTAACGTTTCTGATTTAATCCAGACTGAGTAGACCAAATGGGTGATGAAATTACTTTACTGATGTCCGTGGTGAGGTAGGCATTTGCTGTGAATTCTACTCACAAACTCTGACCAGACCAAATCGAAGGCCTCTTGAGAGCAAAGGCACCATGCTCACGGCCAATAGGAGGATCTTTTTTTACACCCGCATGCGCCCTTCGCTGGGTGGCAAAAAGACAGAGCGGCACATACTGAAGCAGGGTTGCGACGAGTACTTTTAAAAGAGTCAGTAGGCGAATAGCACTGTATGTAAGCACGTTAACGGAAAAAGATCAGAGGAGATATAAAGACAAGCTAAAAATAAGTATATGAGACCGAACTGAACAAATTCAAAGTCCATATGAGACTTGGGATGACGAGAAAAAACATTGACTCAGACTCAGACTATTCAGAGACATCTGGGGACATGAACTTTGACTTTCTCTCACTGCAACAAAATCACACCCCATCATTTCTCCAGCTTCAACTCCATCACCTCCTGCTTCACTGCTCATTACAATATGAACTACAACAAACTTATAAATCATCAGTCATGAATAGTTAGAACACAGTGGGCTATCATCTCTGAAGACATGTAGCAGTAGCAGCAACAGCAGTAACAGCAACAGCAGTAACAGTAGCAGGAGCAGCAACAGCAGTAGCAGCAACAGCAGCAGCAGCAACAGCAGTAGCAGCAACAGCAGTAACAGTAGCAGCAGTAGCAGTAACAGCAGTAACAGTAGCAGGAGCAGCAACAGCAGTAGCAGCAACAGCAGCAGCAGCAACAGCAGTAGCAGCAACAGCAGTAACAGTAGCAGCAGTAGCAGCAACAGCAGTAACAGCAGCAGGAGCAGCAATGAAAGCAACAGTAGCAGAAACAGCAGAGTCCTGGTCACTTCTACAGTGTGAGCTTCATAGTGAAGAACCTGGAAATAAAAAATAAAAAATCATACATGTTGCTTTTTTATGATTTAGTTATTTCCACAGACAGCCGTCATCAATCCATCAGCCTCGAATGCAGTGCCACTCCCTCTTTTAGGATTACTTGTCTCCCCCCTATCATGGAGAGGAAGCTAATTAACTTGGTGAATCACTAAAATGCACTCATAAACTGCGTATTTCCCATTATGTAAAACAAGTCACAGGGAGGTATTCGTTTTTTTCCCCCAAAGCAATTATTCCAGGCGACTTACTTTGCATTTATGGCAAAGGCTGGAACATGTTTCGTTTTGACAAGATATGATTTCATATTCAGAGTTAGATTAGGGTAAACAGGGCTGTCATATAATCGACTCTACGCATTAACCATGAGAGACAAGCATTTGGGTGCCTTTTACAATATTCAGGATCAAATCTGGGGAGTAAATATGAGACAGGCTTCCTCTCTGACATTGTTCAAATCCAGACCTTTCTGTTTAGCTGTGCATACAACTGAGGGATTTTATCTTCACTCTGACTGTGATTATGTATGGCTTTAATGCCATGAGTGTATGAATTGGGCTATAAACTTGCCTAGCCTAAATAGCTACTGTAAATGATCAAACTATAACATAATCTACCTAATGCTTTGATTAATCGAATAGCTCAGTTTATTATATTAAACATATATATAATAGCTAAGTTATCTGATTAATGACAATGTTTTTTAAAATTATTATTATAAGCTTTTAGGGAGGAAGTTTGAAAGTCTCTGCTTAGACTGCTGCCCCCACAACCCTGGAACGAATACATGAAAATGGATAGTTGATAAAAGTAAAAATTATGACCTTTATGTTTTATAGGATGATATGTTATATTTAAAGAATGTTTTGCATTAACACAATAACTTAACAGTAATAAACAAGGACAGCAGACGTACAAAACAAAAGAATATAAACTTTATTAGGCCTACACGCGACATTGGACAAATACATTAGAGGTGTAACATTGTTAATATGCTTCTAATAGGACATATACAGTTATAATTACAATAGGGCTGTACAGGGAGATCAAACATAGCAGCTTAGGTCTCTTCAGTGCGTCCACTTCACCCACAGACTGTTCAGTCAACACCACTTTATTAACAATATAGTGACTGCTAATGCGATGTTTATATAGTACACATACAGATGTTACAATGTGAAGGATATTCAGAGTACTTATGGCTGAAAAAAATCAAATTGAGGAAGAAGTTACATATTGTGAAGTCTGTGTGTGGTGAATAGTGGTTTACTTGTTTTGGCTCAAACTTATACTTGGCTGTCTCAAAATACACAAGGCATCATCATCATAGTTTTGTCATTATTTGGGTCATTCTGCAAAAGCGGTGCCATCTGAGTTCTCATAACAATTTAGTCAAAATATAGTTTTATATTAGTAGTCAGGAACAATACTTATGGTATAGGTTTTACACATTTTGTTTTCAAATGCCAAGTCCATTTCCAAGTCAATTCAATGGGGCTAACATGAATCTGAAATTTAAACAAAGCTTAATTGAAATGTTTTGATGTTTGATTAATATGAAAAAATAGTTTGAATATCATTGACGCAATATATCGTCCAGCAAAATATTTGTTCGCATGACTGGCCTATGTGGACATATTCTAATCTAAATCAAATAGGTTCTTTCAGTTTCGTAGATGAAGCCTTTTTTGCAGCCCTGTCCATTACAACACAAAATGAGACAAAGATTAAACGCTGAAATGATAAACTGTACAAAAGTTACCCTCGGACAACATTCTGCTCACAGATCTATAAGACCCAAATGGATATGCGAGTGTCAGAAATACACTCATTAAAATATTATGTACATAAGGAGCACTTCATACGAGCTTTGGCCTCCCAGTGTCCTCAAAGCGGCGCCCCCCGGTGGATGCTCTCAGTCTCTGTGGCTCGTCTTTGGTCTATCAATGATTCAAGTAACAGCAGGAGAAAGAAAATGGGTGAAAAGTGGAGTTCAGAGCTTAGGGCAGAAAAGCAGTGCCACCAAATAATGTTAAGGTAAATGTTCCAAATGAATAGAAATGGATATTGACGTGAAAAGGCGTTGGAGCTGTTCATTCCTTGTCGTATGTGCCAGAGAAATACACATGCCTTTCATACGGTCAGTCCAGACATTTCAGAATAACCAGACACTTGAATCTCAAATTCAATGCAAAATTAGTTGGGTTCAGAAATTCACATTGGTTTTAATTACTATAATATGGCACTGTATTCAACCCTAAGATTCCAAAGGCTCCATCATTTGCAGGAGATATCCAAGCACAAAAGACTAAGTCGTTTATATTTTTTGAATTGGACAAGTTAAAACAAAACCTAGAAAAAAAAACTGTTTGATATTACCAAAATAAAACAAAGGAAAAGGTTTCTAACATGGTCTGAGATAACTACATTTTCTCTATGGAAATAATGACTGATGTTTTGTAATTATGTATGTATTAATTAGTTTCACTACTCTGGACCAATACTGCTCAATATTTGTTATTGAGCTTACCTGTTAAAAAAGTGTTTTTAGATCCAGCCCTTGCTAATATCAGGAACTTCTGACCCCCCTTATGTCTAAATGGTTTTATCTCAACTCGTCATGCCTTGATGAATCCCTACACTACTACATGTTCAGAGCTATTTCCTGCATTTTAAAGCTTGTAATTCCCCTAAAATAGTTTTGGCAGGTTTTCAAAAAGCCAAATCAAATGCATAAAATGTATTCTTTGAATAAAGTAAATCCTTTTGAAACAATATTGTTCCTAATATTGTTGTGTGTGGACCTGAAACCTGTAAACAATTCAAAGTCGACAGAATGCTGCTGTGCTTGAAATGATGCAAAATCTGAACGTTCCATTGGCAAATATTCTTATGAGACACTTTAAATCAAGAGAAATATTGCCTAATTCAAGCAAAAACTATTCTTTTTTAGTAAATTTCTTCAGTGAACACCCCTGTTTGCCTTGAATTCCCATTGACGATACATTCATAGTAGCGTGTTGTGTGCATCCCACTGCAGCAGCCGCAGCAGCAGCAGCACCGGGGCAGCTCCTACAGTCCTACAGTAGTCCCGTCCCCGCTCTCTCTCTCTGGGTGGGCCTTACACCAGGTCGGGATTGGGGTAGTGCCTGAACACCTTATAGATCCACTGAGTGTAGAAGGACACGTTGATGAAGATGGCGGGCTGGTTGGTCCGTGCACAGCCTCTGCCGTGAACGCTCACACCTATGATCACACGGATGTCCCCGTCCTGACACACCAAGGGCCCGCCGTAGTCCCGCTGCAACACAGAAGCGTCCGGTCAGCACTGGCATCCGTACACTTGTGCAGTTGTCTACACATTCAGGAAAAAACATGTGGATGATACTGATCTGTGAGGATCTCTAACATGCTGTTCATGCAAGGCGACCCAGGAATTTATAGCAACTGGATACTTTTTGCCAAGAAGAATGGGCAGCTTTACCATCAGAGAGGATAAAGAAACTAATTTACAACCACCACAAAAGACTTCAACCTGACATATATCTTTAAGGGGCTCTCATTGTCGAAAAACAGACAAGAAATGGCTTCAATAAGTGTTTGCATTATCATTCATATTTTCCAAAATTTGATCAATAATCTAAATTTTTACAATTGTATATGTGTGTGTGTGTGCGTGCGTAAACTTTCAAGCACAACTGTACACACTTATACACTGACAGCTGTGCAGATCATAATTCAGTATCGTGAAAGTATTCCCTCAATAAATGTAGTGAAGAATACGCTGTCTTTGCCTCACAGAGAGAGAACGTAAAATGCTGAGAACAAATCTGACCACAACACGCCGCCTTCATCTAACTCAAAAACATTGTCTGTTGTGCACATGCATGAATCACCAGCTACAACTTTGAATGGAATACTACAATGGAATAAAACTGTTCGTACAAGTCTCTATCAGCTTTATAGACTGACGGGAAAAGCCATCAGTACGTTTTGTAGAAGCCCTCTCCCCATTCTCCTCCACGCTCTTTGATCACTGAACACCGCAGCGCAGACAGCCCCCTTCCCCCTTCAGTGTTTACCCAGCCGCGCGTATTAAGCCTACAGATTTACAGCACATTTGTCAGAGATTTAGATCAAACCACATCTCACAAAGATTTGGGGTTTGCGTTGGACCGAGGCGCTAATGTCTGTAAATTCACACAGGAGATGTTTGTAAATCCTTTTGGCTTAAGCGCCGTTCTCGCTTAAAGGAGGAGGAGAAAATAAATTGGCATTTTTGTTTTATTAACAACATACTAGGTCATCTTCCCAGTCATAGAGATGCAACACAAATTACGACTATAGATATATGTTTGAGGTGTTATTTTAACTGCCCTAACGATTCAGTCCAAACTGACGGTGCTGGTGGGAAGCAAGGCAGTCGCTCTAAGTAAGAAATATTTAATCACATACAAGGTCGCACAAACGCTTTACAATTTTGTCCTACAACTAAATCCCATTCTCTCCACAAATTGGCACGTCAAAGCCTTCGACCATCACCGTCCATTCACTCACTCATTACATTCATCCCTACTCTACGTGTTAGGGGGTAAGGGAAACCGGAGCAACCAGAGGAAACCTGCACAGACACGGGAGATCATACAAACTCCACACAGAATGGCATGGAGATAGGAACCACAACGCCAGTGTGCCACCTTATCAGACCCTCAAACCACCACCAATCACCAAGTATGTTTATAAAGCACCAGTGAAGTCCGAGAGCCAAATCCAATTGAAGTTGATTCAGCAAGACAAAATAACGTAAAACGTAACTGGATTGATCCATTTCCACTCAGTATACCCTGCATGTAACCACGTAAACCATACAGCGCAGGAAACGCCACGCATAAATTAGACAAGTATTTGGATGCTGTTACTTGAGACAACACTGTACGTTTAATTGTGCTGCGGAAACAAAATGACTTCTGCTGTTGTTAAGTTACGTTTTGATGATGCTGCAGGTGCATATTTATTTACAATTACTGTATGAGCGCAAAGGAAAGGTTACGAGACGCCTTTGAAAGCCTCACAAGGTTAAAACGGCTCAGGGATTTATAGAAATAGGACCTCAAAGTTGTTAGACGGGTTTGGAAATAGCGTTGGTTAGTGTTTTTTTGGTATACTCAAATCACTTTTATAGTTTGTAAATTTACTCATTCACACACACACCCATGTCAAATTACAAAATGTGTTTAAAGAGGACAAAACTACAGTTAAGCACAATACAACCTCAGCCATTCCACTGTAGCATGTGATATTACATCGGTCTCCCATCAAAGTACCAACCGGTCCCACCTGCTTAGCTTTGATGAGCAAGAATGGCAACAACCCAAGACATCATTGTTCTCTTTCTTTTTCTAATTCAAATCTGAGTTTATACTGCTAATAACTTCCTATAACGTCGTCTTTATTGGTTGCCTTTTCTGCACCCACAAAGCGTGGCCCTCGGTGTCGCCAGCAGAGGGCACACATTATACATACCTCACACACGCCTTCGTTCTTCCTGCCCCCTGCGCAGATCTTGTTATTGCTGATGCGCAGGTTTCCTTTGTGCAGGTTCTGACACCTCTCGTTGCTCACAATGGGCAGGTGGACGGCCTTCAGAACCTCCTCGTGACCAGTGCCTGAAAGAGGAGCGCAGAGACTGAACTTCTGGAAGTAAAGGGCTTAAAAACACTGTGTCGTAGAGTTGTGGCATAGTCTTTAGAGTGACAGAGCTTCTCACGGAAAATTTACACCAAGCCTCTTAAGCGCGTAAACTATCCTGCAGGGAAGACAGAAAAAGCGGTAGAACAAGCAGCTCTAGTGTGAATTAAACTCTTTCAAAGTTACTCCTGTTACGCCTATGTTATTCCTTCATTAGGTTATGCATGTTTTTGGTGTAAATTGGGGATAACAGAGCACCCAGCCACTCTGCGCAGGAAATTCATTTGAACAGTTTGTGTCTGTGTGACCCATTTTCACCACAACAGACCAACACAGCGACCACTTCCGTGCCGACACTGCACCAATCCATCTGTCAATCTCGCACTCCCTCACTGTGATTACTCTTGGGGTAAAAACATTTTTAAATTGATTAAAGCCTGAATTGTGATGTGACCTTGTATTATTAATGTCAACAATACAGCATCTACAGGCCCTGATAAAGACTTTGGTCAAAATGCTTTGTCATTGATCCAATACACCGGAGTGCCTCAGATCGCTTTGTTGTGGTCTGTCCAGTAAGATTCTGTGTCCACACGGGTCTTGGAAAAGCACATGATTTATTTTCATCACGACTGTTGATTGATTGAGCGAGCACTCAGGAAACCCTTTGGCTTGAGTTTTGTGAAAGTTCAATTTCATTGTTGTACTTTAGTTGTAAGAAAGAGCCCTGTTTGCCACTATTTGACTTTACATTTAATACATACATTTGAAAACCAGTGATAGACCAAACAGAGGAAGGAGATGGATTTTAACACCTCCTCCCCCACCTCCCTCTGTGCCCTCTTCATATCCAGGATGAGCCTAATTGGACTCTACAGATTTGACTGTGTCTGCAAATGGATGTGCATCAGTCCTGGACTCATCTAAAGCCTGTATGTCCATGGGAGTGGATCTCTTTCTCCCTAATGGGGTTTATGGAGTTTTTCCTTCTAAAGGAGGTTTACGGGGTCTACGGACAGAATTTGCAGAATTTCTGTAAAGAACGAATGACTAATTACCAGATTGTCTAATATGATGATGGTAAATGAACAATGTCCTTGCCAACCTTACTGTTTCCTTTCACAGTGAAGCACCACAGATGGATTACCAGTTATGTCCATTTTTGTTTAATGTCTTCCCAACCCTGTTTATCAATAGTTCATTGTCAAGTGTGAGCCTGATAATCCACTCCTCATTTTCCTATATACAATACTTGATTGACTTCCTCCCACCAGCACTTCTGATGACCTGTATACAGCAGGCAGTCTGCTCTCTGCCTCCTGCTCTTCACACAGGATCAGAGTGAGCGGACACTGAACATGAGTGTGTGAGTGCGTGTGCGTGTGTTCATGTGTGTACCTTTGGTCTCTCCCCAGCCGTACATCCTGCACAGCGTGCCCTCTGGGATGGAGCAGCCGGCCACGGGCAGCTGGATGGTGTGGACCGTGTCCGCAGGGAGGGCAGGCCTGGAACAAGCAAACGCAATCAGGACTTCAGAGAGGTTCTACAGTCGGCTTACAGCTGTCATGTTGTAGCCCACATACAAAAAGGCACTGGATAATGTACTTAAAGGATTTGTGTTCATTTTGGCCCTTAAACATGATTTTGAGAATATGTACTTTGACATTTAGTGTGACAGAATGTGAAGAAATGTCTTAAATAGATAATCTTTGCATATCTGTCAAGTGTCCAGTTTTGGATGGGATTGTCACATGTACTTCAACATTCAGTCCTCACATGTCCTGTAATTGGTATTGCCTCATTATTATATCTATGAATGAATGCACACATGCAGCTTAAGCGGAACTTCAGACTGGTAGACTACCCACGCACGGCATCGCACCAGACTGGCCCCTTCCTTCCTCAGCCTATAAAATCAGCTTTGTCAACTTCCCTGCCAGCCGTGCCAATCAAGCCAGCGCTTAAAAGTAGGACATCGCATACCAAAATCAGCCGTTCAAGCCACAACCACCTCCTCCTCGGGATTTCATCACACGCTTAAATTCACCTTGTCCTGTTGCCACCTCCAGTGCTTAGGCCCCAGGATCATAATATACATTCAAGCATTGAACATCACAGAGCAAGGCAACAGCCGGGGCCTATGTGCCAAACTAATGAACTACAAACAAACTCGCAATCACTACATCTTTCAATGCATCTTGTCTCTTGTAGTCTCTCCAGATTGAAAGGACAGTTGGCGTGGGGAGTGGACCAGTTTACGTTTCTGTGAGCTTTGTTCTGTTTTGAGTTGTGCAGACTTTCATGCTTTGATTTGGTTTGTTTTGCTGCCCTGGCCTTGTAGTGTGTGTTATCATGAAGTTTGTTCTTTGTTGAATACTTAAAGGCGCTATACCCGTTTCTGCAATGTTTGAATGTTTAGCACCGCCCCCCAACTCACTCAATGGCTTCTCATTTCCCCTATGCTCTCATAACACAGAGCCATCTAGTTTTATTTGCGATCTGATACGTATGCTAACATTAGCGCAACTTCTTGTAAGCTGTACAACAATCACTGATGAAATGGTACAAAAGCAACGCACTGCTAACACAATATATAGGTAAAAGAATACCGCTTGTATTAATTTAAACATTAGAATATATTCTAATATTTAATTATAATTTATTACACAGCTCCTCATAGCAGCAGCACTCCATTGACTTGAATGCAATTCTTCCGATCATTTTTTCTTGATAACAGAACTCTCAAATCAATAATGACCGCAGCCCCAATGCAATCTCTGTTTGTGATTCAGGTGAGTAAAATACTGCCATTACTCCGCAAGTACAAGCTATCGGCGCCTGTCACTACACACTTGTCTGTGTAGAGAAGCTAGCGGAGTTAGCCACGCTCAATAAACAACTACATATCTATCAATCAACACCATTAAACATTAATCGGACAATACAGTATACATATACATCCTTAACACGCATGCACGGACGATTTCTGAATTTGCTGTCAACGTTTCCATGACAAAAATAAAAACCCGGTTTTTGTCACTCTAAAGTGACAAAAAGCGATCGCGAAAAACCCGGAAGTTACTATGAATCAGCTAGCTAGCTTAGCTGTTTCCTGCCTAACACGTCCGGTGAAGCCTTTGGGAGCTAACTATTTTATTTGCAGTCATTAAATACATTTCGAATTATAAGGGCTGTCTAATATTTGTTCGAATATATATATATATTTTTATTTTTATTTTAAAATTATATTTCAATTTTGAAGTCGAAGCCCTGGTGTTAAGCAGCGCTGTAGAGGCTAGAGGACGCAGGCTGTTCGCTGCTCGTTCTGTGATTGGAGGAGAACGAGCGTCCCGCTAAGACTCTACTCAGCACTTTTCACGCATACATTTCATACATCGCTGAATCAATGACCTCAAGTTTTCAATTAAATTATGTATTATGATACAACTTGTATGTAGTAAAAAGCATTTTTATGAACTACTTAGAAAAAAAATCGGGTATAGCTTCTTTAAGAAAACTGACAGTTATCATGTTCACTTTCAGCCTTTTTCAATTAAATACAAGACCCAGATTGAAATTGTCTTGACAGATGTGGATAAACAAACAAAAAATCTTGAGTAGTAAAAGACATTGAACAATAGAAGTGGGAAAAAAACAGCTTTATATAAAAAAAAAAAAACATAAGTAAGTAAGTAATGTTTATTTATATACCGCCTTTCACAGACAAGGGTCACAAAGCGGTTTACAATTGCTATTATTTTTTTGGGCATTTGTCCTCTCACTCACAAGTGAATAGTTCAATGGAAAAAATATTGTTCAAAAAACTAAGACTAATTACTGAGAACTTACTTGATTCAAAAAAGTAAAAGGCAATAACCATAAAAACAAGCAGGAGTGGTTGTGAATAGCAGTGTTTGTGTGGGGCTCACTTGGACAGGCGTATGAGGGCCAGGCTGGATCCATCCGGCCCACAGATCACATGAGCAATGCTGACTTCCTGCCCTCTGGACCAATCAGGTGCTCCCTCCTCCACACTGGAGATGCCCAGCCACACTCTGTACTCGCTCAGGTCCGGGACGCTGTGCAGGAACAGGGTATCAGTTATGTTACAGTCGGGTCTGAATCTTTAGGAACCCTGGATTGAATGTTCTATTATTCTGAGCAGTGAAGTGCCATACTTGCCAAAGGCAAACCAATTGTAGGAACCATTGGCCATTATTCAAAGTCTTCAAGTTATAAGTGATTTCTGGCAGGCTCTTCGGGAGTCAGTCAACATTTTTGATTACATTTGGATCTGGTCGCAATAACTTTTGGACGTGTAAAGTGCAAAAGAGTATAAAAGTCTCACCAGGAGGAGAAGCACTGCTGGTCTGTCAGGACCCACTCCTCTCGGATCAGCGAGCCTCCGCACCAGTGCATGGACCTGCAAACACAATGTCACAGAAAACAAATTGACATATCTCTTCAATTTATTTTGAATGGGGCAGTGGCCATGTATGAACAGCAGATGCTGTAAATAGACCACTCATTCACTCTGAACTTTACATGTTTACAGTGGTAGGGGAAACTGGGGCACTACAAGGAAACCTATGCAGACAGGGGGAGAATATGCAAATGTTTATGTGAACGCGCTGTCTGGCCCAGGAATTTAACCCAGGAACGTCTTGCTGTGAAAAAAAAGCTCCAACCTCCGTGCCACCAATGGTTTGGAAACTTTTAAGCATCTGCTTCATCCGACCCCTTTTCAATGTGCTTATATGTATGCAATGTATCATTGCAAAAATATGCACAAATTGTGTTTGAGCACAAAATAAACAATAATTTATGAAAACTGTACATTTTTAACTCATAAAAAGAGCTGGAATAATAACAGAAATGTGATTGACAATGACAAATTGTAAAACTATGTACTTTCTTGGTTCCTTCACACTCGCTTTAGACTGGATGTGCGTGGCTCATCAAGTAAAGTAGATTCATCTCATTCTCCTTCATTAAAGATGCCATTGTTACAACAATCCCTGTCTGTCCCCATGACGCATCCAGGGAATAACTAAGTAGTGTCCACTTTCATGCTGCATACAGTACATTAATTGCTGTTGTTCAATGAATTCTTGTACAAATTATAGATTGAGGGAAAAAAACATGCAACCAAACTGTAGTTGTGCCCTTTAGCAAACCCACCATGAAGAACCCTAACCCACTATATAACGCACACTCTTGCAGCAGTACAGAATGTTAAGAGGAAAGCTGTACCCTTTCTGTATGCTGACCATCCAGCTGCCCTCTGTGATGCTGACTGGACTGCCTCCCACGATCCTCGGCCTCTTGTGGATGAAACAGCCCACGGAGGACAGCTCCCCTGCACAACACACAGCACATTAGCATTATTAGAGTTATGATGCTTTTAGAGGATAATAAGTGTTAAACTATAAAAGCCATAGATCATTCTTTTAAATTGTATAATACAAAAAATACAAGATGGAACGATTAAGGCTTAAGTGTTGCTTTATTTTAACAGCTTTGTGAATTGCTCCAGTTCAATTGCCTGTGATTGTGGCTAAACTCTGCAGAGGAGTGGAAAGCTCCATTGTCACTGTATTTGACATGAGTTTGGATATAATTTTCTTGTAGGTTTGGAGTCAACCACAACTGGGCTGAATATCAATAAGAAATATTGGAACAGTGACACATTGTTTGTATTACATTTTATTTAACATTTTAGAACAAATACAATTATATGCTTGCTTTCCTGGGACAAGAGTCTTTAAAATGAAGTATAACATGCCAGAGTATCCCCGAGCCATTAATACTAAAAGTTAATCAGATAAAGATAATTGAAACTCATTTCAGGGGCCACTAAAAATTGTCTAGTGGGGCCAGATTTGTTTATCTGGCCTGCCTTAAGTAGAAAATACATAGGCGAATATAATACTTTCAATATCATGATTAAAAATGAATACATATTTCAGCCTGTAATTGCCCATTTCTACCACCAGATTTGGGTTGACTTTAGTGTTGACTTTATTTTATTTAGAGCAGATACAGCCATGCGATTGTAACCATCAAGTAACCAGAGAAACCATACATGATTTAGACCAGCCATTCCCAAACTCAGTAACACCGAGGCCCCCTTAAAAATCTGACGGGTCTGCGTGGCCCCCCAAAATAATAACCAAGAAGACAACATTAAGAATAGGCTCTTCTGGTTATTTTATTTTGGGGAAATAGCCTCTGCTACAAACATTGTAATACAAAAATGATTACAGTGGATTATTCAAGTCAAATAATTAACACAAATATTTTAATATTACAAACAAAACATTATAAATTTAACATTAAATAATTATATATATATATATATATATTTTTTTTATGACCTCCCGCGGCCCCCCTGCAGTACCCTCGCGGCCCACCAGGGGGCCGCGGACCCCACTTTGGGAGACACTGATTTAGACTAAACACTTTTGTTTTAAAAAGGCAGAAAACAGCTCTGAACAAGAACATAGGACAGTAACAGGTTTAAAATAGTAGAGAGAAGGGACGGGTTAATAGGTTTGCTAAAAACATTTTTTTTTCATGAGGAACACGGATAAAAATCTTTTGCAGAATACTGTATGTAACCTGTGTATTATCTACAACCAAGACGCCATTACAAATCAGTACAGACACGGATGGACATAAGGGACAGGTGAACATCAGACGACAATAATGAAATACCATAGTAACAGCTCAAAGTCTCAAACCATCTCTTACATTTCGCGCTACATTTCCGAGCTGACTTTCATCCGAACAGTGTGATTGGGCGCTCTATAATTACGAGACGTCTATTATTAGCTTTATGGACAGCCAAGAGCGCAGATGCTCCAGGAGTGGCTCCAGCTTGGGTCTGCAGCTGGCTCTCCCGCTCGCTGACTGTCATGTAACGTACTGTGATTTTCATATCTCTGTCGACGGCATAAAGCTGTCACGCGCTCTAAAAGCATAACGTATTGTCCTCACAGGTGCCGTACAGCCGCTGATTTAGTGTAATTGTAATTGTACAGAGGATTAAAGCTAATGAGATGTGATGAAGTTGTTCATTTGGGTGATTATGGAGTGGTTGGTAGGACGCACGGGGGCTGAATGTGTTTTTCCGGGTTGATTTATCTTATTGGACTTTAAGTTATGGCTCTGTATGGAATCTATACCTGCCTAGAGACCTGAACGAAACAGATGAGCATAGCAAAGTCTATTCATTTAATATGTATGAGGAAAACTGCTTTTTGGAGAAGTTTATTCATAACAGGACTCTCGGCATATAGTGTCACTTCTTTCGATGTGCAGATGCTGTTGACAGAAAATATTACAATAGAGCATGCCACTAACAGTCACAAATACAATGACAAAGAAAAAAAAAGAAAAACATCCTGATTCTTAAACACTAATGAGCAATGATAACTACAGGCACTATATTTTTAGAGTATTGTTGTATAGGGGCGACAGTAGCTCAGTTGGTAGAGCATTTGCCTTTGGGCCTGGAGGTCGCAACTGCTCCCACAAATTTCTACTGTTGTTAAGTGTCTTGCCCAAGGACACATGTGTCCTTGGGCAAGACACTTAACCCCACGTTGCCTGAAGCCCCTGCTGAAAGACCAAGGCTGTTTCACCACTGACGGAGCAGCCTTTTCCCTGTGGACTCACCACCTGCAGAGGATCAGCGAGGGATTTCATTACCACCCCCCTGACCCAGAAATGGACTAATAAAGGGGTTGAAAATGAATGAATGAATGTTGTATAATTGTTATTAACTGCCATTAATCAATAAAGTGATCTCAGTACTTGATACTCCCAGTCTTTTCATGTATTGTAGCTACATATTTTCTTGGAAAAGCTATATCCAATTTACACCCTCGTCTACAAATGTTGGTTCTGTCTATGATCCTAAGCAGTAAAATGGCAAGGGAACCAATGTAACAGAACGTCAGCTACAACTGGCCAAGTTTATAGAGTTTTTAAACTAAATGAACTGGGCACAGACAAAACTCCGTATTGCAGAGTAGGCTTTTCTCTAAGTAGAGTCATTACAAAGGGTCAAGTGCTTTCCTTACTCCTGATTGGCTATCAGACACAAACTCCAAATCCAAAAACATGCAGGTCATTGATAAACCGCTAAAACCTCTTCCCTTCTCTGGCTTCATTAGCCTCAGTCCCCTACAGTTTGTGCAGAAGGAATTATGACAGATATTGGATTTATATGAACAGTATTAATACTACATTAATTACTGTACAATAAGTCACTTAAATAACCGGCACAAGGACCGAAAACTCACACTGCAAAAAGTCACTTTTAATTGTACTGTACATAATATATCTTGCACAAAAGAGAATAAAACCTTTAAACATGTTTGCACACTTCCTGTCTTTTTGCACACCCAGAATGAATCTATCTATGCCAAATGTGACATGTAAATTTCTCCATTGTGACATAAATAACGTTTATTTTATCTTATCTTATACTGCATAAAAGGAGTGGACCGAAGCAAAAATCATATGAGCATCCCCACCCCAAAAACTCAAATATAATTAAAAAATATCACAATAAAAATAGTACAGAACAAGGACATGAAGGCACACAAAACAAACATCCTTGATTATAGAATAATCAACACACAACAATTGATCAGAAAAAAAAGAATAGATCAAACAATTGGCCATGACTTAATGAGATTAGCCAGAGAGATGTTAATGTTAAGTTATTTCTTTGCATCAGTTCAAATCCAAGAATATTCTGCATTGTGCTAAAGCCAGAAAACAAAACAGACGGCACTCACTCACCTAGCGGCAGGGTGTTCTGTGGAATCTCACCTGTGGAGCAGACAAACAGCAGATCAAAAACAATACACAGCTTTACCTTCATCTTATCTAAAACCACATCAGGATCATTCATTTCTATTGGCAGCCATATGAAGGAAAAGACACGGAGGCTTTTTTTTCTGCTGACAGGTCACCCAGGTGGCATTTGATGGATGTGTCAAACGCAGCGTACACATTTCCCTGCAGGGACACTCTGCTCTATAGCAATAATTAAAAGCAGCTCCATTGCTCCTTGTGGATTCCAGTAAAGGTACAGTATCCTCACTGTTTTGTCCCATATGGATTCTCTTATTGCAATATTTTCGCTTCTGCTACTTTCTCATGGGGGTTTTGAATGGTTTTGACGTGCTGTGACCGGACACATCTCGACACAAATGGGAAGATTCAACCTGGGACTACACACAGAGTCTAAAAACAGACTGAACCAGGTCTAAAACAGGACTAAATCAATCCTTTAAAGGTAATTAAAGGATTACTTGTGTGTTAAAATAAATAAAATAAAAACATGGCTTGCTCAAGGAATTCATACAGAGAAAAACATGTTTTAGTAATAGCCACAAAAAACATGATTCGTGTATTATCGAGGCCGTGATGATTGTGGGTTTTTTTTTAAGGCAAAACAAGTTCACTAGTATAGCACAATTCATAAACAAGAGCTGCACGGCGAAAGATAAAGTGTAGAACCACACATCGCAAACGCAATCATGAGGTTGAAAAGATACATCGAAAAACAATCTTGATGGAAGATAATGCTCCAGTAATGTTGTATTTAGGAGTCAAAAGCATTTACTTTTTACTGAATTGTATCAAATCACACTGTGGCTTATGTTTCGAGGTTTGGCAAATAGTCCTAGTCTGTGGAAAATAATGTATTTAAGTATTTGTATATCCTGGAAAACAACTACTGTCGCCACACACGCCCTGAGGCAAACTCTGTGCCATCGCCCCACCCCGACCACCACAATCCCTCACGCACACACCCAACTCCAGACGTACGAGGGCCGCAAAAATAGACGGCTTATAATTGTTTTTTAGATTATGATTTAATGTAACATGAGTTTGACTATTAATACTATTTTCTGAAAACAAAATCTTAATATTTAACCAAAACTGGACAATATATCAAGTTAAGGAGACATTGTTTTGTATTTAACTACTTAACTTGAATGTGGTTGTTTTCCTGAGAAAATAGATGTATGTTCAACCTTCCTGGGTCGCCCATTACCCATTACCGCAATGATTTAAACTCCTTTTAGGGGCTACTAAAAATTGTCTTGCGGGCCCGATTTTGGCCCCTGAGCCTGCAGTATCAAATCATGTCTGTGTAGTACTCACACTGCTTTATGTTGCAGTAGTCCCAGGGTATGGCAGAGTTGTTAGTGTAGCACCAGGGGCCGTGCTTGTCTTTGTCCGGGTTTCGACACGCGCTCCCCTCCAGACCTGGCATCTGCATCCCCCTCTCGCCACTGCACAGAAGACGTTCAACCATTCTATCAAAAATTCATTTTGCATCTTGTATGCATGATAACAAGGAATAGAAAGATAGTGGTTACTCTCATTCATATGTAAAGCTTTTAGAAATGAGCTCGCTGGTGGGATGTAATTCAATTCTGGACTGGACTGTTTGAGAAAAAGGCCTGAAACACAATCTCCATGAAAGGAAGCCACAAAATAACGCTGCATGTGAATAGATTACAAGATTACAGATACATATGTAAATACCAGATTATTGGGCGTTCCCGAAAAAGTAATAATTTGCATGCAACAAGCAGATGACTGATCCTCTATTTTAACACTGACATACTGCAGTAATCATTAAGCTGTCATTCTAAATCTAGTAGTGAAAAAATGTCTATCGAAAAAAACACCTAGCTATGTAACCTTTTCTACTATTTACTGTCACCTAATCAACTTAGAAATTAGCATCATAATAATTAAATATTAAACAGGATTTGTCAGTTTCACGGCGTGATGATGGGACCTCTGAATTCGGCCTCTTTAATCTGCACTTGTGGACTGGGCTTCTGTGGCCCGGACTTGTGTGCCGCACCCCTCTAACCGACTGGCAGCCTCCTCAGTTCTGCACCGCACAGCCTCAGTCCTCGTTCTACAGTCTGAGTCTTGGATATGTCAGCCTGTCTGTCTGCGGGAGCTCAATTGGTCCTCCCCAAGATTCATCACTTTTTTCCCCATTACGGTTGAGTCGTTCCTTGTCGATGTGTTTGTAAGAATTGGATTTCCTATATTCTAACAGTTTGGTTCTCTAATCTGATGTTGGCAAATCGACAACTTTGTAAATTCCTTGTAGAAGACTTCTGTGGTGATTTATAGCTTCATAAAAATACATTGAATTGTCTATGCAATCTCCCTCTGGGCTCAAAACTCATCCCGACTTTGGTAAACTTAGCTACACTTCACATGTCATTATCCATTTCTTACACGGTGGTGATATTACTATAGCCGTATCTGCCCTGGGGCATTCACGCACTCGCCAGACTAATTCTAGGCAATGCTAGCGAAGTGTCTTGCCTAAGGACACAACAACAGTTTGGCACTTTACTCCCGCCCCACTGTGGCACCTGGTGTTCCCATCTGGTGTTCTCCCATCACAGCCAACTTAGAAACAATATATTTAATTATTTACAAAGGACTTATTGTAAAACTGCCTGGTTAATCGACGTGTTTGTTCAACGGGAACTCTGGCTCTCTGAACACAAGATCACAGGACCATTTGCTTCCTACAAATGTAAAAAACCTCTCAGAAAGACTTTTTAATATTTCAAAATCACAAAAATGTCATGCGTTTTTGTGTTTAATATTTTTTTTTTCTTGATCTGTTTCCTGGATTTGATGTTCAGTACATACTTTGAGTCTTTTTAAGTGTGCTACATAATTAACCTGGACAGGATATGATTATTTTAAAACGTTGTAAAATATGATACAATTTGGTATTGGAATGGCAAAAGCGTAACTTGTAATAATATTGTAACTGTTGATTATTATCGTACTATTTATATTGTATGTGTTGTATATGTGCGTTTGTGAAAAACAGAATGTTAATCTTTATTTTCTGATAGTTTTTTATATTGTCTCATAAACTACGTACATTCAATCCTGGACCCACCACGTTCATTCATAAAAGTGTAGCCCCAATGAAATCAAACAAGACAATTTGACAGGACAAACATGTGTCAAATCCATTACCTGGCACATTTCTGATGATAAATGTGCATTTTTTGACTTCCACAATGGCTGATTGTGTCTCGTCTGTATAGTTTGGCAGAGCCTGAAGAGGTGTTTAGAACGCGCCTGTAATTCCCATGTTGATAAGGAGAAACAGGCTGATTTATTATGAAGAATTAGTGAAAGCTGAACAAATTCCCTCTGATGCTATCTGGACAGTGCGATTGTGCAGCTGTGTCGGCCCGCTCCCTGAAGACAGAGGATTAGAGGGCGCTTTACACTCACAAACTGCACCATATATATATGTACACACAAAACATTAAGTTTTACAACATGTAATGCAAAACAATTAAAAGGAAATAGTTGTTGTTTTTCTTGGGTGCAAGCATGGGTAAGACCCGTCCAGGCCTTTCTGTGTGGAGTTTGCATGTTCTCCCTGTGTTTGTGTAGGTTTCCTCTACCACTAAAAACATGTACAATAGGTATGAATGTAAGGATTGAGTGACTGGATGGTGTTGGCTGGGGGCTTTGATGAGCCTGTGTGTTTGGCATCTCGCTTCCATCATTGTGTGGCGAGAATATCTGAACTCTTTAAGACAATGTAGAAACCTCAGATTTGATATGTTTTGCATATCAAAACATATTGTTTTGCCCAAAGAGCTCTATGAGTCACTATTTTTTACTTTGGGCTGAGAGCTGATTGGTTCAGTGAGTGTGGTCCTGTCGTTCTTCTGTCTAAAGAAGTTTATATACAGATGTGACAGAGGTCAAAAATATGTACAAGTGAATGCATGGAAACATACGCCTAACATTAGTGATGTTTTGAGAGAGAGGAACTAGTTAGAGCAGGCCTGTCAAACTCAGGCCTGTGGGCCAAATCCGGGCCGTGAGACCATATCAAATTAAATAACAGTTAGTTATCTTTATTTTATTAACTTGCAGCATTGATGGTAAGGGGCTATTATGGCAGCTTGTACTTAATTTCAAAGCCAATTGTCTCAAAAAAACCACCATATTATAGTATCTGTTCGAACATGTTAACTAAAATGTAATTAGAAGTTATAGTTACGGAATTATCATTATTATTATTTTTAAGTACGAGTCTTCCAATACATCCCTTAATAAAACAATGTTTATACCACTTTTACACTTCTGGCTCCAACCAGCTCTTATGTCCTAAAATGTGGCCCCTTTCCAAAATGAGTTTGACATCCCTGAATTAGATGGGTTTAATACATAGTACAAAAATTAGCTCAGCTTTAACTCCATTAGGATAAAACCTGGGCTAAACCAGACTAGACTCACTTTTCCCACGCTAGCTAAAGAAAACACTACTATGTACTTTTAATATGGTCTTCTTCGCTCTGAGTGAGCGGTTACCCCAAAGCACTGAGCTGATTAGCTTTGAAGTGTGGGTCCAGGACCTCAGGGGGAGGCTGGGGTCAAGTGTAGGCCTTAAACTCACACACTTAAGTTTTTCAGAGCATCATTCCTGCTCTGTGAGGTCATCTTCACGTAGAGACCTCCACAAACATTTCACCAAATATCCCGCAGAGATTGGATCTAGTGTGGACTCCCCTGATGGCTGCATGTTATGGGGAGGTTTGGGGTTATTAACAAGAGGAGGAATGGGAAAATACGAGTAAACTTTAAGTTGTGTTTGTTGCCGGTATCATGATGATACGTCGTACTCATATAGCGCTTTTTTTGGACACTGAAAGACGCTGTACAGAGCAAATCAGAAACAAAAACAAAAGATAAATATAAACTGGATGGACCCCCTTGAAAATGAGATGGCCCATCTTGCCTAGCGTACATCGACAGAGTAACTGGAGACAACTAGTTGCAAGGCGGCTTTTGGCAACTGAGAGTAGATGATGGGAGATGATCAGTTGCCAAAATCGGTCGATGTGCGCGCTCTTACAACTGGAGATAAAAAGTTGATCTCCGGATTCAGTCAGTTGCCCGTGTTCTACTATTCGGCAACTAGTTGTTCTCAGATCCGGAGATATCACCCGATGTACGCGCTCCAACAGCATGTGTTGAGAGTGTTATCATGTGACGTATTGCGCGGCCTCTACAGTTTATGTCAGAAAACACACTGTAGTTGAGGCCAGTTGCTGTCGATGTACGCGCTGTTATTCCCGAGACTGGTCTGCTACTGGGAGTTTCCCGTTTTCGCCAGATTGTCGATGGGAGCGGGGCAGCAACTCATATGCGACGGATATAATCAGTTGCCGATGTACGCTAGGCATTAATTCCATGAATGAACTAAACTAAACTAGACAGGTAAGTGCAGGCAGTTTTGAACAGGTGGGCAGCAGAGTTCTGGATGTATTGCAGTTTTGGAGATGAGCAGAAGGGAGACCATAGAGGAAGCTGTTGCTGTAAGTGTAATTGTAAGTCTATTATTATTATAAGTGACGGGTTCGTTTACTGTTCAGAAAATGTTATTGATCCCTGAGGGCATTTCTCAGGGCGGTCCACATACAGACAGTCCATTCACAGCTCATTTAGCAGCAGGTTCCAGTGTTTATAAGAAACATCAGAATACCATACAATGTCAAACTCCACTCCCATCAGAGTTCAACAGCAGAGGGCACAACAGAATGAAGAGAACAGAGTGTTTTCAGAGGGGGCTGTGGCTGAGTCAGGATACATTTGGCCCTTTTCAGCACCTGCTTCCCCCATGTTGAACTACATATAGTTATTATGTTGAGTTACATATGAATATTGAGTGTTACATTATCCATCCATCCATTCTCTACCCTTTAATCCATTTCTCATAGCACCAGCCCCTCACTGACCCTCTGCAGGTGGTGAGTCCACAGGAGAACGGCTGCTCTCTGAGTGTGAGCATAGCCTTGATCTTTCAGTGGGGGCTTTGGGCAAAGTGGGGTTAAGTGTCTTGCCCAAGGACACAACGACAGCAGTCATCAGTGGGAGTCGATGGAGAAGGTGCAGAGGTGGGAATTGAACCCACGTCCTTCTGGGGTTAAGGCCAATGCTCTACCAACTGAGCTACTGTCGCCCCTAGTGTTACATTATGTTGCATGCAATTGTGCTGTGGCTTATGTCGTGGTATTCAAGTATTCTGGTTCTTAAAGCTTTCATACAGGAAAGGAAATGTCAAAAAAATTGTTACCTTCTTGAAAACCACGGTCAGGTAACTTGATCCTCACCAGGTATACCGGTCTATCGTCAATATATATATACAATCTTTATTCCGAACTCAAGGTCCATACAAATGACAACACAAGGACACCACAAGACACAGAAAAACACAAAAAATAAAATAACAAAGTCTAATGACTCATTTACAAAGACAGTGTTCCCAGAACTGAGAAATTTAGCGTGTTTCACTGATAGACGCCAATAGAAATGCTGAGTAACACAATAGAAGACTTAATGGGAAATACAATTACTAAGCAGTTCAGGTACCACCAGAATATGCTTGGATTACATGTGTGTTGATATTACACTGTGTCTGGGCCTAGTTGTGGTGTGTGTTATCCTGTGTTACAGGCCAGTGTAGGCACATTCACACAACACAATGTGCTGCAAACTGAGTGACATCGAGTGTCTGATGATTCAGACTCTGGACATTGTTTTTAATAAAGATAAAAGCCTATTTGATGGGAAACATATTTAGTCTGCACAGCAACTAATATTATGATTTCTTATAACAGCAATAGAGAAATAACTTGAGGCCAGCGTCAGTGCCCTGTCCAGAGAGAGGCTCAAGGGAGCAGAGGCTGGGGCCCACTGGGAACTACACATTACTACACTACTAATGATCTGCCGCATATGAGATTAAACTCAACATGTGCAGAGTAGATATGTTGGACTGTATAATGGACTGTGAACTTGAGAGAAAGAAAATCAAATCACTGAGGGGCAGTTATTTTGGCAAAAATAAGGAACGTGAGGCTTGTCTTACATTCGCATGCTGCAAGTGCCATCTGAAATCTGTCCCCAAAAACCAACCTATAGAGATGCGTCCAAAACAGAGGTCTGAGTCACCTCAACTGGCTGCTCTTGACATGGAGGAGCAGCGGTTCTACTCCAAACTACGGCGTGTGACTGAGCACCTCACCCTAGCCCTAACGGAACGCCAAGCCAGTGCCAGGAGGAAACTCATGTGGACTGCTTATATCTGTAATCTTGTTCTTTCAGTCAGTACCCTAAAACGAGTCGGATCCCTCTTTGCCACAAAATACTGATGCAGCTTCATACTCCCTCACTGTGACTAACACCATACTTGCGCTCCACCAATCCCCTAAAATAACCAATCATATGTTCTCTCCAACCCACACAATTTCAGTTATATTGACCTTTACACGCTCTCACCTGTTGGCATGGTCCCTCCAGGGCGTGCAGGGCAGGTTGGAGCGGGTCCGAGTCAGATCTCCTTGATAATTCTCCCCAAAACCTTCGTAACAATCTGCGGACAACCGGAAAAAGTACAATGAACAAAACAGACCTTTCAATATTGCCACACAAACAAAATCACCATTGTTCTTCTTAATCAACCGCAACAGAGTCATATTCTTTTGACTTTGAAGTGCAAAGTACGTGGTCGAACGCAAAGACCTCGTTTATGTTTTGGCATTGGTTTCTCAATAATTCTGCAAAAATACTCCTGTTATAAATACGCATCTGTCATCAGTGGACGTGGGAATGTTTCAAAAGCTCCGGTCCAAGCCACAACAGAGCATGGTAGAGTCGTTTTGGAATCCCATCGAGAGGCCACATCTCGCACAAATGCCCTCCAGGGATATTAGCGTTTGTGTACTCAGCCATTGATGGGCATTTTTCACTTACGAACCACAGTCCCTTTAATGTCTCCCACCCAGCTGTAGGCCCCCGCTGGCTTCATGTCTTAGAGTGTTGACGGTTTGATATGTGGCTTTATTTTACAACGATACGCACTGGTTGTTACTTCCCACACTCCAAGAAAATTATTGCAATGTAAGAATGCGACTTTTCTGTCTAAACTCCGCCTCGTAAAGCATGCATGTTAGTCACCTGTTCTCTGTTTTGAGGCTGAAAACGGAAGAAGAAGAGGCTGTTTATTGTTATTTATCACAGTTTTATACTGTAAGACAACATAATAAATCCACAGAGGGGACATTTTCGTGTTGAATAGAGCAACATTGGTTTGATTTCATTCGATCAAATGAAATCAAGCTTAGATTACAATTTCCTCACGTAATCCTGTTTTTTGTATTACTGAGAAATCTGTGAAATTGTTGCACAGAACCGATTACAGACTTTTTTAAGACAGCAATGGGCAAATACTGGAAGCTGATTTAACAATTCATGAGTTTCAAGGGTTTTTTGTTTAAAATATGAATGCTATTTTTCCCTAGTATATTTTTAAAGAGATTAGTACGATGTTAACAGTGTAAATTAGTTCATAGATTACTCAATAAACGTACAGAGTATAAAAGGAGCACACAAAACAAGATAAAATAGCTGTAAATATTTAGAGACTAAAATATGTCTTCCAATGAATTGTAACATTCCAAGTGAGATTTAGCCCCCAGGAAGTGTTTGAGGTAAATCTCCAGCAACAAAGACACTACTTCTCATTACGCCTCAAAACGCCAAAGCAGTTTAATCCTCTGTCCTCAGGAGCTAGTTGTCTAGTGTAACGAGGACACAACCGGTACATATTGTTTTTCTGCCTAAAGCAAGAATGACTACGGAATAATCATCCGTAAATCACAGATTCAGATAAAAACCCTGTAGAAATCAGTGGGAGTGGCTGTGGTCAGGGGAGAACAACAATGTCACAACAATGTCTAAAGTAAAAGTCAGAATAACTGAAACATGCACGAATGGTTCGATAAACCGCTTTGAGTCCGTGTAAGGCCGGCCTGAACTCACGCCGTGCATCTGTGCAATCATTGGAATTAATCAGAGTCAGAATGTGCAATATCAATACTGCTAAAATGTACAAATGTAAACATCCATCCATCCATTTTCTTCCCCTTAATCCATTTCTGGGTCGGGGGGGTGGCAGTCAGAGCTGCACCAGTACACAGAGCACCAGCCTCAGATGTAAACATACAACTTTATATTTCTTCCACTATGCTAAAGTTAGGGATTTCATACTTGCTTTTTTATTATACTAAAGTTAGAGATTTTATTCTATTTTAAGATAAGATAAGATAAGATGAACTTTATTGATCCCAAAATGGAGAAATTGACAATATAAAGTTCCTCATTCCTACTGTCCTGTAACTGGTGATGCAACACTGACATTTCCCCACTGTCGGATGAATAAAAGATCTCTTAATTTTATTCTTAAATATATTGTTGGACTACAGTATTTTAAGGTTAGTGTTAGCAAATATCATTTTAACAAACAAAATTATGTAAATGCAAATGCAGGGTTGTAGTGTACAGGTATAATGCTGTAAGTGTGTGTGTGTGTGTGAGTGGGGGTGTTTGTGTACGCGGCGCATGTGTGCGTGTGTGTGTGTGAGGCGGGCAGTGCATGTGAGAGGGCTTTATGCTTTTGTATACAATCCTATTGTTGTAATTTGATGACTTGTTATTGTATTTTTATCATGTATTATTATTATTATTCACACGTCATAATTCTTTCACTCCATACACGGTGGAGATGAACTACTATTGTAGCCACTTCTGCCCTGGGGCACACTGACAGAAGCAAGGCCACCCGTATGTGTCATTGGCCCCTCTGACCACCACCACAAACCATTGACACACACCACACTCAGGGATCAGAGAATCAAACAGTTCAAACACAAGAAAGGCAATTTTAGAAAACACACAGAGCCATTGGTCCGAAAGAGGCAGACGATCAATGTCCATAAATGTTGATAAAGGTTAGACACACAGAATCAAAACATTAGAATAAAAACAAGTGGGATGGGTAGAAGGGGGTGTGCGTACCGTTGAAGGGTTTGTTGTGAGCACCACACTGGGGGATGTGTGTGCACAGCATCATGCGCACGCGGGGGTCAGTGGTGAAGCACCAGGGAGACTCACGGCCGTCCGGGTTCCGGCAGAAGTTCTCCCTCAGGTCCCTGCACCAGAAAAACGTGTAGCAGTGTGAGTTCATCCAAACCCTTTTCAAAACTGCAGTGCACAACGCTACAGGAGACACTGACAGAGAATTATAACATATGAAGTAATAATTGCTGGTCGAATGTTTTTTTTTCCTTAATTTGAGTACATTCTGACTATCTTTTAACATGATTTGCTAATTTAGTCTTATTTCAATAACTGTTGCTTTAATTTATCATTCTAAGGCGTGTTACATTGGCGAATCTTGTTTCAAGGCAGTCAAAATGTGCTGAAATAAATTTACATTTTGAGCAATTTTTTACTTATTTTTCATCACTTTTTTCAGTGTGTTTTGCACAGGATTTGAAAGGAGCCTCTTGATTTAATGAGCCTTATGCCAACTATACAGGGAGATAAAGGAAGGATACCTAATTTTCAAACCATAAAATCAATTTAGCTTGTACACCACTCTCAAAACAGTTTGGATCTAGCGTTAGTTTTCACATGCATTTATTACCTGGTTGGTCTCTGTCATAGCCTGGTTGTACCACACCATAGTACAAATTACATTTCGTACTAAGGTCTGGAGTCGCTCCTTTGAGCTCCGTTAACAGGTGGGAGGGGTTAACTTCTTTTGCAGATTGAAACAATTGGATCTGAGTTTACCGTGACGTATGTAGTGTGCCGGAATGAGTTGTTAGCATTTAGCCTAGCCCGTGGGGAGTAGCGCCACATTTTTTCCAGCGAATACATTTGCTAAACATTCCTCTTGCTCCGGCTTCAATTTCTTGATAGAACCAGACCGGATTACTTTACTATCGCATTTTTCGCCATTGCCATACAACCTGCCCGTTCGACGCAAACTCTTGACGTCACCCACATCTAACTACAACCCCCGCCTCCCATGCTCGCTGATTGGTCAGTCCGAATTCAAGCGATTGTAATCTCTAACATGGGGACCAGACCCAGATGCTACATGCAGTGAAATGATGATTGAGCGGAGTGTACGGATGGCTAAGGCCAGGCTACCTCTGTCACAACTAGGTAAAATGTTGTGAATTGCTTGCTTGAAATCACGTGACGCATAAACTTCCGGTTGACGAAGTGGTGGTCAGGCCAGCAAGAGTTGCTGCTGATATGTGGGGAAAATGCGACTCTTCCGAGTATTTTTTTGCTTTTTTGCATATTTCATGACACACAAGCTACTGTGGTTAACGTTCTCACTCATCATTCTAACAATATGCACAAGGCAGAATTTGTCGACTACAAGTTTTGGTAATATCAAGGTTTAAGCTACTGGCACAGCGGCAAATGCTAATATTTGCTAATATGCTAATAATGCTAATAAGTCTCCATTCCGCCGCTCTATGTCACTTACATTCTGTAACGTCTTTTTTATGTCGCCTCTACCATTGACAATAAAACATGTCTTCTGTCTGAATTAAAGACACGATCCTATGCAAAAGGCATATTCAGACATGCTGCTCTAGTGAACAACTAGCTCGGCTGACCACCACTTCGTGATACGCATATGTAATGAGGCGGACGTGACGTCAATTGCAAGCAAGCAATAAAACCAGAGAGGACCACCCTCACACAACCAATCTGCTCTCAGCCCAAAGTGTCAAAGGGTGACACAGAGTTTTTTTTTTTTTAGGATGCAAAATATTGATTTTTTTTCCCATTTTACTTTTACAAGACTCTTTCTGTTGGGGATAACAGCGTGTTTTATCTATTATAGAAAACAACAATTCAAACACTGAATCAACCATTAAAATCACCAATCCACCAATCACAACTTTAGATTTCTGGAGGTGAAGGGTGACCTGCCTTGTTCTATATAATTATGTGTAACCCTGTCTGCAGTATACATGTAGGACACAAAGCAATACAAAATATCAGTTTTATTTGAGTATTTTGATTATAGGAATGTTTTAGTCTTCTCAGCATGTTTACGTTTATATATGGTTTGAAAAATGATTCATCAAATACTAAATTAGATGACAATTATTTAAATGCTTAATCAACCAATCAAGTTAAGTGAAAACATAAAATGAACACAACTTGAGTAATTGATTCACTTGTTACAGCCCTATCGCTAAAACCTGGAGACAACAAGTGCGGACATTCCACCAGTACTAGTTGTATGATCACATTCTTCCCCTTTGATTCTCAGGCCTGGAGTAATGGCAACATACAAATATGAATGTAATGATGATTTATGGTTTTAAACATTTTTCTCAGCAAATGGGCAAACAAGCACACTGCCAGAGGAATTGGGATGGTACTTTAAATAAGTGAACCGTAAGCCCAGTTTGATCGTAAACACATGATGAATTCCCGAGACTGAAAGAGTAAATTCCTGCTGAACCCAACTGTCTTTTGACTTTCTTTCTAATTCAATGCACAGATCATACAGAAATAACTTTTTGGGGAGATTTAATCCTGTTATGTGGTTGTATAAAATTCTAAAGAAGCTAAGAAATTCTAGTCCTGGTTTGTCCTGTGATGGGAGACCAGTGCCACAGTATAAAGACGCTACATTTAATCAGGACCTAATAAAAACTTAATCCGGAACAAAAAATATGGATATTATTACATTATAAAAGATAGAAGGAAGAAGACAGTCTTTTGGTCATCACAAACTCATATGGTGCTATCACTAGTTTTGTGTGTGTGTGTCTGTGTGTGTGTGTGTGTGTGTGTCGTCTGACTCACTTGCAGGGGTAGGCCTCTGGGATGAAGGTGTGGTTGTGGGGGTACTGTCTGTCCCAGCGTTGGCAGGTGAGCCCGGTGGGGGTGGTGTCCACGGAGCCCCTGTAGCCCTGCCCCCGGCCCTGCGTGCACTCAGTGGTCTCCCCCGAGGGGGGCTGAGGAGGAGAGTCTGCCGGAACACACACTTTATGGTCAGGGCATGTGCTCAACAGGCAACAGGAGAATTTAACAAACCGTGACATTTGTAGTTGGCCTGAAAGCAACAAGTGCATGTTATCATCTTTTTACTACTTTTTATTTAAACTGACTTTAGAAAACCCACATGTAACTGCTTGTGTGTTCTACATGTTTGAAACTCTGTAAGGTCAGGCTTCTCTTTTCTAAAATTGAGTGTTTTTTTTTTCTTTTTGGACCTTCACTCAAAGAAACGGTCTTAATGTGTACAAAGCCTGTACTGTCCATTCCAACATGCAAATGTGGTATAGGCCAGCTCCAAAACTCCCTTCATTATTGTAATATTCTGAAAAAAGCCTTCTAAATGGGCTGTGTTGTAAACAGGGTCGGGTGGGCAGGAAATCCTGTCGTATACATCCTCGAGCAGCTCATTCCACAGTCAGGCTGGAGAGAGAGTGCGATGGCCTCATGGAACCTGCTGCACTGTTCCATCAGTGTGGACCAGGTCAGAAGCTGCCCTGCACCAGACTGTGTCTGTACCAGGACAGAAGCTGGCCTGCACCAGACTGTGTCTGTACCAGGACAGAAGCTGCCCTGCACCAGACTGTGTCTGTACCAGGACAGAAGCCGGCCTGCACCAGACTGTGTCTGTACCAGGACAGAAGCTGGCCTGCACCAGACTGTGTCTGTACCAGGACAGAAGCTGGCCTGCACCAGACTGTGTCTGTACCAGGACAGAAGCTGCCCTGCACCAGACTGTGTCTGTACCAGGACAGAAGCCGGCCTGCACCAGACTGTGTCTGTACCAGGACAGAAGCTGGCCTGCACCAGACTGTGTCTGTACCAGGACAGAAGCTGCCCTGCACCAGACTTTACCGAGTCAAACATAGAGCTGCATGACAACTGTTCTCCATAAGATTGTACCAGGGCAAACATAGAGCTGAGGCCTCCACAAGATATCAGGTGTACCCTGTTTATACCACTGCAGATTTCACACATGCTCATAAACTCAGCACTTTGAATAATTAGTATGCTCAGAGCCTTTTCAGACAAAACACACATGTACAGATGCAAAGCACAGTCTGTTTTACATCTTTCTGCAACTTGGTACAGTGGCTAGCACTCAGACTTCATAGCCTGAGAGCAAACAAGTCGTTGGAATGTTTCTTCCTGTGTCTGAGTGGTTTTCCTCTGGACTTTACTTTCCCCCATAACCTAGAGATATATCCCTCCAGTAAAAGTTGTGTCCTGGGTGTACACTGGAGAAACTGTTTGCCCAGTGGCAGCGATGGACTGAATTATCCTTTAAATAGTCTGTAATTAGACTAAGTCTTGAGTCAAGTTTGATGATTGTGAAAGTTTATCTGATCTTTTCATTCATATAGACGTTGTCACACTTTAGATGTAAATATGCATAATTGTAGGATTGTTTTACAAATCAATAAGTAGGCCAGGGACTTTAATGTGTTCATAAATTACACAAAAATAACGTGTAACATTTTTTGCCGCATTTTAAACTTCCTCATGGGAAAGGACCACAGTGAACACCGAGGAATCGAACTGGCCGCATTGGTTCACCCTATTTGATGGAAAATGTTATAAAAATGATGATGGAAGCGTTGATAAGAGCGTGGTTGTTTTTGCATATCAGCGCAGAACATCGAGTATCACCTCAATGCTAAACACAGAGCAGCTAGCGTGGACGTTAGCCTGAGTATAAAGACCCACCCAAGCCACACTCACCAGATGACTGCTTTAAGGCGGGCTCACTGGATTGCAACCGACTGCAGACCCCTTTGATAGAAGATAAGGGCCTGCAAAACGTATTATATTTCTAAATATGCCATGCTACATGTAATGGCAAAGGTCTGTTGGACTTGTCTGGACGACATTTTTGTTGCTTAATCTTATATATTAATTCATCCTTCAATGGTAAAACACAATTTGAATATGTGATTCATTAATTACAAAGCCTATAATTATAGTTATTTTTTTTATTTTTTATTGTGTCCCGGCACAAATAATAAAAAAAAAAGTTTGCTTTTGAATTTGAAATGATTTCTAAATCTCAAATACTAACACAATTGACATAGGTCACTTGGACCATGGAATAGGTATTTTCTTCCCCATAACACTTTGCCTAATTGAGGATTGGCTGCCTGCATCTTCACACACCAGAGAGTCACATGAGCAGCGCTGCAGCGGGGCCAAATGGAGTTCCTCCACATGTGAAGACTATATCCTGGGGCTCCCTGCGGTCCCAAGCTGCCCCCGGAGGAGGCTTTCCACAGCACAATGACACAAGCAGCAGAGAGCGTTGCGTGGCGGAAGCACAGATTAGTATCTTGACAAGGTCGGGAAGCTACATTAGGCTTTGTAAACAAGGGTGACGGTAATGAAATATTCGTCAAACAGTGTCAGTCATATAATAAATGACACCTCTTATCAAAGCAAAATGTGGAATGGGAAATTATTGTTGCATATGCCTCAAAATTGATACATAATTAGCTAATAGCAAACAGGTTGACAATCAGATTATGTGTCGTTTTTGGTTAGCTTTTTTGTCTCAGCTTTTGATTTAGTATCAGGAACAAAAATAACAGGATCATCTTAGTCTCTGCTGCCGCACCTAGCACACTTAACTAATCACAATTAAAAGAGTTCTTTAAATAACTATTTGAGTAATCAATTCAATTGTTAACTGCTATTTAGTAACACTCCAATTTAGTGAAGAAATAGGAAGTATCTGTTGGAATTCCCTACAGTGGATTCACTTCAATATTTTAGGGTTTGTTATTATCACTTATTATCACTTATTCAATTCACTACATGAGGCAGGATCAATCTAAAAGGATGTAATAATAGAAACATGTACATTGTGCTTCTTTGATATTGAGTTTGGAGCAAGAAGTCAGTGTATAGATGTTTTAAATTTTCTTCAGAGTTATAAGCAAGAAAGCAGGCAGGCTGGATCTTGTATTTTTGCAAAAAGCAGTGTGCTTTAACGAACAGCTACTGCAGTAAATACACTGGAATAAGCTCCAGGGGATAGTTTTCCTTTATCTTTTGGCCTTGAATCCAACTATTCTGCATCAGTTGGGCCCTAACAGACGTCTGTAGATTAGTTACAGCCTTGGAGAATGTGTTCACTCTATCAGTATAAATCAAAAATGAACATGTGTGTGACCTGTGTGTAAACAGAGGCCTATGTTGAGGGTGGGAAGGGTCTGTGGCTCCAAACAATAATAATCAAGAGGAGGTGAGAAAAGAACACGGTGTCTTGGATTACGGGACCACCAGAGAGCGCCCTGCTCCTGTACGCCCCGCTACAACCACTGCAGGACCCCAGTGTGCATGTGAGGGGCACTGGTGCTGACCACCACTCTCAGGGTTTGGGGGTTTGGTGGGTCAGTACTGCCAGTGTGTGTGGGGGTTTCATAAAGAGTGTCAAAATGAGAACTCATGTTTGAAGTGTAAACCAAATGTATTTAGAACCTTACAGGGAGTCCCGTCCCTCAGGTGTGTCTCCTCCTGATTTCCAACTCAGTGGGGGCGGGTCCCTTGGTAAAAGGATCCATGAGCAATTGCACTGACATGCTTGTAATCTGACTCCTTACCCGTGGGGGTGTACCCGGAAACAGAATTATCAAGTGCATTCTAACGACACCTTCTTTCCTCTTGAAAACGCCTTTACAGCCTGGTCCAAAAGTCGACTCTTGACTCAACACTACGTTCCAGATGTGTGTCAATGCTGAGGGGAGTATTTATTTTTGGACTAGACTAGTTTAGTCGCTGTGGACTTTTGAATGCACTTGTTAAATGAATGGGGCTCATGCCAGCTAACACATGTACAAATGCGTTTTTTCCAGTGGGGGCGGGTCCCGGCTCAAAAGTGGCCAAAAGGACGTGCGCTGACATGCTTGCAATACCACGCCGGGCCGATGGGGGTGGACCCAGAAGTAGAATTAGCCAATGCTAACATATAGCATTGACAGACCTCTCGAAAACGTCTTTCCAGGATGGTCCAAAAGTTGGCTCTTGGCCCAAAGCTCCGTTCCACATGTGTGTCAATGCTGAGGGGAGTGAATTTTTTTGGACCACTCTAGTTTACTTGCTGTGAATTTTTGAAGTCTCTCATTTAAATAAACGGAGCTCTCGCCGGCTGACACATGCGCAGAGGCTTTTTTTCACAATTTTCTTGTGGGCGGGACCACTCGCGGCCATTTTGGATAGCTCCAGTAGAGCAAACTTTTTGGCCCATTAGTTAGAACGGCGGAGATAGGCGTGACTCTGTCCGTTAATATGTATACAGTCCATGGTTTTTTCATGCAACGGGCCACTCACGGCCATTTAAAAAAAAGACAGCAGGAGGGAAAAGTGATGACACATGTGTTTCAATGGCGGGTCACTAGGCGTCACTACGTTCAATAATATTTACAGTCTACTGCAGGCACAAAATGGTCGACTAGGACACGGCCTCTTCTACAGGTGCATGAATAGAAAGTAGCATAAAAAAGGACAAAGTAACCCACTTTGCCACAGTGTGCATGGGGCCTGAGGGGACAGTACTCTCAGTGCATGGAGGGGGACACTCACCACAGGCTCTGATGTGGCAGTACTCCCAGGGCGTGTGGGGGTCCGTGGTGAAGCACCAAGGCCTATGCCGCCCATCCGGGTTCCTGCAGTAGTTGTCTTCCAGGCCTCGGTCCGGGTACCTGCAGACGGACACATGAGTCTATCAAGTGGTGTTCCTACAATGAGAAAGACTGTGAATGATAATAATAGTAAGTAATATTTATATCGCACATTTCACAGATCAAGGTCACCCAAAGTTCGGAGTTCAGATTTTGTTAAATTCTCTCCTCACAGTGATGACGAAAGCGAGACACCAAAAACACTGATGCATTCAAAGCAACCAATCAACACCATCCATTCATTCAATCATTCCATTCATAACAATTGTACATGTTTCTTGTGGTAAGGGAAACCGGAGCACCTGGTGGAAACCTATACGCAGACACGAGGAGAACATGCAAAACAGAAAAGGCCTGGAAGTGGAATTGAACCCATGACCTTCTTGCTGTGAAATACAAGCTCCAACCACTGCACCATCATAGTTGTAATGCATTTTGTTTATAAAACTCTTTACACAAAAACAAAACTAGGAGACTATAAGCACTTAAGGAGAAAAAAAATCCTTCAGGGTCCACATAACAAAACCAAAAATAGTATTTTTCTCCTTCCCCATTCCTCCAAAGTGAGCTTTATAAAAGTGCTTCCTATAGCCAACTTAAAAAGAAAAAACACTGACAGCACCAGGCGCGGGGGGAACTCAGCGTTTTGCAAGTTTAGATTCCAGAAACAAGTTTGGATTCTATTTTTTGATGCATGTTGTGTGTTTTGCATATAAAATATAGAAAGCGGCGCAGTTACCACCCCTGCAAGACGTTCCTGGGGCGTGTATGGACTAATCCAGGCTCAGAGGCTAGATGCTTGTGCTTTTACTTTTACTTTGGGACCTCTTGCGTTTTCCCTGAAAAGCTACACAGATAAAAAATACAAGACTGTAGTGTAGAGCAAATTATTTTCACTGTGATGCCGTCATAAGAAAAAGACACACACACACACACACACACACACACACACACACTCTCTCGATCTCTTTATGAACGCAGGCCCACAGCTGTGCGCTTGAGATGGCAAACACACACATTATCATACAAAGAATGTCAGGGGAATTTGATAGAAAAAAGGTCACATATTTTATTGCAGTGACTAAGTTCTGGCCTTTGAAAACATCTTGTAAAAAGATCAGGCAGCACTATGGAAGTAAGTAACTATTTTTCATTTATATAGTGCATTTCACAGTCCAAGGGCACACAATAAAATTTACAATTTTGGTATACCGGTATTTTCACCCCACACACAGTGATGACGGAGTGAGTGAGACGCCAAAAACCCTGGCACATCGAAGCCCCCAACCATCACTCCTCTATTGTACATGTTCTTAGTGGGGGTGGGAACCTCAGAGTACCTCACGATACGATACGATGTGCGATACAAAGCTCACGATAACGATTATCTCACAATATGACGATGCAGCGATTATTGATATATTGGTCAAAAATATACCTACGATAATATTTGTCTATATTTATGGCATAAGTGAAAAAATACACTTTATTTCAAGATAAATGGATAAAGTGTCATCTGTAACATTAAAGTGAACAAGCAAAAATGCCTTTTAACCTGCACATTATAGTAACAATCAGTTTCACATCCAATAAAATCAATATGATCATTCTACAGAAATTGTAGAATGTGTAATGTAGCCATATATTAACGAACAATACTTTTTATCAAGTAAAGGTTAAAAAAAAAACATGCGAAAGCAATGCAATTTCAAAATAATAGTTAAAATGCATCGGTTTTATACAGCAAATTTGTTTTACTATTTCAACTAGTTCCTTGATGGGTACGCTTAGTTCCATCACTAGTTTCTGAACGTATATTTGGCCTCTGTAAAAGCAGTTCTAACGTGGGAGTGAAAAATAAGGCTCTTTCTTACCAGTATGCAGAATAGTTTTCTAATAAGATAAAGACAGCATCTTGTGGCATACAATCTATTGGGGCCAAAGACATTTTTTCACAACTTGATACTTGAAGTGTTCAGATTGACACATGACTAAGTTAAGTCCTGTTTCACAATGGCTTTTGTATTCCACACTGGTCACAATGCCTCCATCTGTGCTCTGCTCATGGGAGAGTTTGGATAATGAGTAGAACTACAGGTGTCGTGCTGTACGTGTGCTCCCAGCAGGTACGGCTCTATGCGTTGGGCCCCGGAGCCCTTCATTACACGACATTACATGACATTAGCAGGAGGATCGGCACGGGGCCCGTCTGCACAAACACTGGGATGATTAAGCCTGTTAACGAGGCCCCTGTAATCCGGACCACCTGGATCTCTCTCCCATCAGCTGTACGTACAGTCACCGTGCATACAGAGTAGGGCCAAAGGGTGTTTAACCGGACCCGACTGATGGAAAGCAGATAGAAGATTTTTAACCCTCTCAGGGCCCAATTAAATTTGAATAGAGGAAAAATCTGATATTTGGAGAAAATGATCATGTACATGTGTCATATACAATCCTGACTTTATTTTTTTGAGAGAGACCTTCACAGGCAATGCATTCTGGGATGTTGCAAATCTGCAGAGGAGATGTAAACGGTATCTATTTATATATATTATTAAATTTTATGCAGTTTTGGTTTCAAACAATTAGAGATTGGTAGTGATACTGACTTGAACTTAAAGGTCCTATATCACGCTTTTCTTCATGTTTCACACTCAATCCTATACACATGTGTGATGTGATGGCAATCTGCCTGTGACCCGGGGACGCCAACTCACTCCCCCCTGCTGCTCTATCCAGCTAACCTGCAGGAAGGAGCCAGTCCTTCCCGCACCGCCAGACAATGATGCAAATCACTGTCTCACCCCTGTCCCTTTCGCATCTTGCATCTGTATGCCTGCCTCTCTACATCCTGCATGACCATTGTCTGTCTGTTTGCACCTCCATGCCACTGTCTGATTGCCTCACCACGGGCATGGCGCCTACGCTCCCTATGCGCCTCCTGTACTGGTGGCCCCCTCCCATCTGTTGTGGGCGTGACTGTCTTTATGTGTTGTCTATGTAAACAGGAACCTGAGCTCTGCGCGCCAGAGCTGGTGTATGCTGCCTTTTGTATATGTTAGCTCTCCGCACGTGTGTACAATAAACTTACGCTCCTGAATTAAGACAAAGACCTTTGAGCTTTCTCCTTCATTGGGGTATGTAATTCTACAACAATTTGGCGTTGCTGGCATGTCTTGGCATGGGATCTTTCCGGCGGGGACGAGCGGCTGCGTTTGGCCGACCTGGAACAAAGCCAGCCTCTGCTCTATTTGGAGACAAAGGGAGGGCGCGCTCGTCCTGCGCGTGAAAGGAATCTTTGGCCACACAAGACCAAAAAGAACCTGATTTGGTGAGTTTTGTCTTTTCATCTGCGTAACGAGCCCAGGGCAGCACTTAAGTGTACACGGGGTTTTGATTTATTTACGTATTTTTGGGGTATTTCATTCATTGCCACAGCATAGACTGTGTGCGGGATTTTTGGGGTATTTTGTTCTAGATTGAAGCTAGCGGCTGCGTGTTAGTATCGCTCAGTAAGCGACCCTGGAGATTATCTCTAGTGCCTTCAGCCAGGCCCGCTCCGTTTCAAGAACGCGCGCTCGTTGGGTATATAGAACCCACGGGGGGGGAACGGAGCGCCCCAAAGTGGGTAAGAGCAGGGAGAGACTAAACGGGTTAGGTCCATTGTTCTGTACGAGAAAATGGGGAAAAATCAATCTAGAGATGTCACACCGAGGGGAAGGTTAACGTCCCCCGTTACAATGACAATGGGAAAACAGTTCGGATCTAAAGCTATGGAGTGCTTGCCTTTATGGTGCAGCTCTTTTGGCTTTTCCGATGGAGGCTATATGTCTCTGAATCAATTACGCATCTTGCGTGATAATTTAGAAGAAGAAAGGAAAAAAATATATATATATATACTTGGTTTTAAGAATATCACGGCAAAAGACGTTAGAGAAAGAAATATGTAAAAACAATAGCTCCTCCGCTTTTCACCGAAGCGGAGAACACACAGGCGGACACACAGGCGAACACACAGGCGGACACACACATCCCACACACCCCCCCACCCTACCGCCCTCTCTCACCTACTAACCCTTTCACACAAGGAGCAGAACTCCATGCTAAGTACGCGCCCAAACAAGGCGTTGGGTTTTTAAAAAATGAGCAGACTACTGTTGTCCCCTTTTCCTCTCCCTGTCCAGGTCTGGCTTTTCCTCCGCGCTCTGTCCTCTGCCTCAAAGCCCCAGCACCAGCCCCACGCCCCAACCACGGCGGCGCTCGCACCAGCTGAGACCCCGCGAGAAGTGGGCCCAAACCCGGGAGCAGAAGAAGAAGCAGCGGAAGCAGATACACGCTCAGGAAACCGCAGAAGAAGAAGCGGCGGAAGCAGGAAACCGAAGCTCACGACTCACTCCGTGGACACATTATGTGAGACACCGACAACTGCTTTGGAGGCCAGAGACAAACTGCTCCAAATCCCGTGACTGTTCCCCACGGAGGCGGCAGCGTGAAACACCAAACGCACCCGCTGAAACCCCGTTGAAAGTTGCCCCCGCACCGCAAACAGAAGAAGCCATTGGGACCGGCACGTTTGGTTATTCACCAACCCTCATGGACCACAGGCTAACGCTTTGGGCTACCTGGGCCTCCTGCGGACTTTGAGAAACTTCCACAGCCCGGCGGAAAGACTGTGTGCTCGACATGGGTCGAAGGACTGTTACCGGAGGAGGCGTTAAAGGCAGAGGAACGCTCAAGCTCACACGGGGCCAGAGGATGGCAGAGGCGGGCGTGGAGGAAACACGAGCGACTGACCAAACCCGGGTTCACATTCGTCACCAAAGCGACCGCTCATGTAAGTTTGAACAACAACAAATTGCAATTGGCACTTTTTAGAGATAATTCATGCTGAATTCCCGTATTATACGCTAACAATCTGTGGTGTAAAAGTTAAAATTCTGGATGACTCCGGGGCAACAAATTCTGTGCTAAAAAGTGACAGTCTTTCTGTCTCCCCTAAAATGAGTGGCCGCTTCACA